ATAAATCTTAATCCAAGAAATTTTTTAGATCTCAAAATAAAATAAAAAATAAATGAAAATTTCAAACGATTAAATTATGGAAAAACAGAAACCTTTTACTTTATGAAAAACTATTAAGTAAACATAAGAATTGAAAAAATTAAAAACTTTTATTTATATATTTAATAAATGAAAAAGCAAGTTTATGACATCGAAAAATTAACAAAAGTTAAAAAAGATTTTAATTTTACATTATCTAACAATTTCGAAGAAACATTTTCCAACACTGGATTTCGGATTATAGTATACAGCTTTGACTAAATTATATCAACAAATCCACTTGGCAGCGCAATCCACACAAACGCAAATTCAATACACATTCAGCGGCGGCATATATAAATGATCATACACCCGCTTGCTCATGCACCAACACACATAACACTTAAGCTCATTAACATTTGCAAGCATTTGATATACATATTTCGAAAATAATTGCAAAAAAATTGAAATTCAGCTAATTTCTGGCTATTTCTCACGCTGTTGAGCAAAGTAGCCACATCAAACTGCCGCTGTTGGACACTTCATGTACCGCCAGACAGGCGTAAGAAGAGCAACAACGTGAGCTGTTGAGCAAAAGCAAGAAACCCAAAGAATAAAAAAAACACAGAGAAAAATACTAAAAGACAAATAGATGAAGACGAAAAGCAAATTCAAAAAAAAGCACTCCATTCAAATTCAAATAAAAATAACTGAACAAGAAAAAGGCTAAATTGGAAAAAAATTCACTGTGGAGAAATTGTGTGGCCAACGGCTGCCAGTTGTATTTGTGCGCGCGGTGAAAAGTATTTCGCACAGATTTTTAAAATTTTGCCGTGCCGAAAAAATATTTAGAAAATATCTAAACAATTTTTTTTTTTTTTTTTTTGATGAGGAAAATATGCTGCTATGAAATATAGGCAAAAGTAAAGTACAGAATTAAAAAAAAAAAAATTATAGTCCAACAAAAAAATTCATACAGAAAATAATTAAAAAAAAACACAAAATTTGGAAAAAAAACTTAAAACTATCTCACAAAAAACACAACAACAAATGGCGTATTAATTAAAAACACAAGTGCATTACAACATACAACAAAACAATATCATAACTTAAGAAAAAAACACAAACAAAAAAAAACTGAACTCACTAAATACATAACAACAATTAATAAAAATAAGCAAATCAAAACTTAAAAAGTGCATACAAAACCACAACATACATACACATAAAACAAAAAAAAAAAAACAAAAAAAAAATTAGTTTAAATATTGATTTCAAAAAAAATATCATTCATATACTATATATACATATAGTATATATAATATGCGCTATGTAATCGCTGAAGCAATTTCGGCCGAAAAAATATTATTTCTAATTAAAAAAAATATATATATAATATATTTACATACATGGAAAATAAAAAGAAATTATTTATATAAATATACACATAATTTGTTTAACATACATACATGTAAAAAACACTGTTATTAAATTTAAAGCACACAATAAGTGCACATTTGTATGGACTTGTGTATATGCACACATATGTTAGTACATTATCACTTATATAAACAGTTCTAAATATAATGCACGCATAAAAATATACAACACATTATATATATATGTATGTAAACGGAATCTATACACCCCAAGGCGTATACTTAATATATGTATGTAAACAAAGCCACGGAAATCGAAAGACAACAAACAAAAGTCAAGTCAACAATGAACTTTTGTGCAAATCATAAAAACAAAACACGGAAATCAATTAAATTCAATTAAGTTGCATTCACGCTTCGCTGCCAAAGTGACACTTAACCCCCGCAGTGATGCAGCTGCACACAGGCACACAGACACACATTTGCAAGCAGCTTGAAACAAGCATATGCAATCACGAGTGACAGCTAAACTGACAACCAAATAAATTTCAATACGAAATAACTCCTACAATTGTGCTACACTTGCTCGCTGGCTTTGTTTGTTGTATTTGTAGCATTCGCAATGCAGACTCTTATACATGTAAATGCAAAATAGCTGTAAGTTGTGCAGCGTCTGTAACAAACAACAATGCGGCAACAGCACAGCAGGCACTGCATGGATAGTAACCAAAAATATATGAATTTTCATTTAACTACTCACTTCCTTTGGCGCAAACTATTCTGTTTTTATTTCACTTTGTTCAGTCAAAAATCGAATAAAAATTATTTCTGAGCGATAAACGTATGTATGTGTATGTATATAGACTAATGACTTATATGGAATTTTACAACGATCTCACTTAAAACTTTTCTCACGATAATTTTGATACAAGATGTGCTCGCCGTAAATTTATGTGTTTATAAATTTTTAGTGATTTCGCATCATCAGCTCGGTTTGCAGCGCAAATAAATAAAAAGGTTAATTTAAAAGTAATACATTACCTTTGCATTAAATTGAAGGCTTTCTAATGTCATTTTGACTCTCTCATAAAATCTTTTGTCTCTGATGCCAAAAAATTGGCACAAACGATTCTCTCAGGCAACTCTTGAGGCCTCGTCTATACCAGCAAAATCATTTGCTGTATACAGAAACAGACGGTAATCATTTGGTGCGACATCCGGACATCCGGGCATCCGGAAGGTGGATGCTTAATAACTTCCAATCGAGCTCTCGTACCTTTTTGGGAGTCACTATCAATAGGTGTGTACTGATATTGTTCTGATGAAACACAATTCACCTCCGGTTTGGTCACAGGTGGGCACTTTTGGGCGCTCGCTTTCTACAGAAAACCCAATTGCTGACAGTAAGGTTCGAATTAGGAGTGCAAATTCCACCAAACACACAACAAAACCTTCCTGGCTGTCAATGGTGGATTGGAGCCCATTTGAGCCGGCTCTCTGCCCTTCGAACATGACCGTTTTCATTTGACGTTGTTGTAAGTAATCTACTTTTTATTACCGATCTCTATCCGCTTCAGAAATGAGTAAATTTTGTGACGATTAGCAGAAAACAATTTGGTCCATGAGATTTTTTTCCCCTAAAATCTTCTTCAAATAAGTATGATGTTCTGAGATACGCACACGCGCTCATGAAACCTGAAGTCGTTTTCGTAGTATTTTGTTTACATATCGTTCGGACCATATTTCAAGCCTCTTTCTTGTGTGTTTACAAAATGCGCCGCTGTTTGTAAAGAACGAACGACTCCTCGGCCTTTCCCTTTCCAAGTAAATATTTTCTTAAAGCAACATAGTCCTGCGGAAAGCTCTTGTCAGCTACAATAGAGGTGTATGATTGGAGCAAAAATCTAAGATATGCAGGCAAAGCTCTTCAAATTTTTACAGATGGTTATAAAATGAGATTTAAAGAAAGAGTGGGGGGCTTAGTTAACTGCGTCCAACTGTAGATCAGAGTAAATGAAGCTGTCAAACTATTTCAGTATCTTCAAAGCCAAAGTATTTGCGATGAAAATGGCAGCAGAGCTATAGCAAAGTAAAGGCTGTCAAATCAAGGGACTATACGTTTTTGTATACAGCCAAGCGGAGTGTGAGGTCACACGGTCTCTGCCGGTAATGAGTGAACTGACGAACTGGCTAAAGAATGTGTGCTTTTAAAACAAGACGTAATAATAGCCCAACCCATTCCACTCAAAGAAGTGAAGCAAACGCCTGAAGTAGGCTTGTTTCGTCAGAATAGACTTTGAGAAAGAGCTTAGGGCTTCAGAATCACGAAAACTGGGTGCCAAACTTATGCTGCTAAACTTACAAAGCTTTCACCAGCGGTAAAGCGGCTTCCATTTGTTACTGGCCTTATTGGTGTGCAATCGATACTTACAGTTGCTGTGCTTTGCACTGTGGTTGATATACCACGTCAGCTGGTTTTCTTGGATGAGTTCGCACCTAAATTTTAACGTAAAAAAATATTCTATTTTATGTATGTAAATATTACGTAGTACCGTTATAGAGTTATAAGTAAAGCAATCTTGTCCTTGAATTTGTTTAATATTTTTAATGAAAAACCTACCTTTTGGCGCCCGTTATTAAGCGGTAATTTGAATTTATGGTTCTGGTAGCAAAATCAAGCAAATTTCGAAATTCTTCTGCTTGCTTGATGAATTTTTTGCGGGATTTGAAAAATTTTAAAACAAACAATGCAATATTTAACTAAAGGAAAGTACTTACTGTGGACCAATATTTTTTTTCTTAAAAATTTTGTAGAGGAATTTGTTTTAATTAAAAAAAATTAAAGTTATGCTCGTAACTCCTCTTTTTTCAACCAGAATATTTACTCTTCGGTGGCTACAAAATGGCTAAGATTGCATTTTTTCGTTATTGTTTCTTATAAAAAAAAAACGAGAAAATAAAAAAAATTAAATTTAGTTTTAAAATTTATAACGAAAAATTTTTTTTTCGTAAAATACCAGTATGCAGGCATCTATTTCTAACCTTTAAAAATACAAACAGTTTTTTTCCATGAAAATTTATTAAATCAACGCATATATAAAATAATGGAAAATTTTTAATATATTAATATTCCAATTTAAAACACACTGGAAACCGCACTTGCCATACATTTATGTGCACACGTCTACGAGAGGCTTGCAAACAAAACGGCACTTTTTTTTAAAAAAAATAAAACGAAAAATAAATAAACCTCTAAAAAAGATTTTTATTATGCATTTTAAAAACCAAAAGAAATACAAGTGATTAACAATGAATTTTAATTGAAAAATCCAACATTAAACACTTACATTAATTGAAAATTCATTTAGTGATAATTTGAAAAAAATTATTATTATTTTTATTATTTTTTTTAATACAAGAACAAAATCTGTTGACATATTTATGTTTAAAAAATTTAATACACTTTTTTTATTCCATCTTTTTTGCGTGTTTTCCACTTATTTTTTTAGTGTGAGAGAAATGTTTGTGTGTATTAATTTGTTTTGTTGATGCCAACAAAAACCAAAAAGATATAAATAAATAAATAAAAAAAAAATTAATAAATAAAAAAATTAAATAAATATATATTTTTAAATAAAATAAATTACACCAAAATATGTTGAGCGACAATATTAAGCCAATTAGTGATATAATGTGAAGTACCAAAAGAAAAAGAGAATTAAATAATTGCAAAAAAGTGCTGCATTCTTTTTCCATTGTGTAGTAAAAAGTTGTATATGTATGTATTAAAAGAGTGTGTGTGTGTGCATGAAAAAATTGCAGCTTGCCCCTGACAGCCAACATTTCAAGGTTTTGAGCACAAAAAAAAATTCCCCAAAAGCATATTAACGCATTCGCATATTTGCGCTCTCCTTCATTATACATATGAGTTTTGTTTGTGTATGCGTATATGTATTTTTATGTGAAATAAATGCTTTAATAGTCGCTATAAAAGGCATAAAGGAATAAAAGCGAAAAGTTGAATGCCATACAGATATACATACATACATATATGTGGTGAATAATAAGCAGCCATAACTACGCCACAACACACAAGTTCACTGGCATACATACTCATACGTACATACATACGGTGTATTATACGCCACTGCGTACGTACATCAGTCACTGCAGCAACAAAAAACAACAAAGCCATATTTACATATGCAACAGCGTAAATTGTTAACATTTGTGTGAATTTAATTCATTTACCTACACACACACTCACACATACGCATACACACTCGCATACGCACTCACAATGGAAGATAATAATAATATAATTGAAGAGCAAGAGGAGACAACCACATCAACTTCGAAATGGCGGAAAACGCGCACCACAGTTAAGGTAAATATACACAGTTAACAGTTACTCGTACATTGTGATGAATTATATGCGCAATAGTATATATATATATGTACATTACATTACACGTGAAGAATGGTTGTGCAAATGCACTTGGAAATGTTATATTTGCTCAGTGTAAAGAATTGTGGGCAATTATGGCATAAATAGTTTGCCTTTGAATATGCTTAGTATTATTTTTCTGTAGCTCACCACGCTTGAGTGGAGCTCATCAAGGAAATGACATTTAAAAACTAAAAATTAATAAAATTATGCAATATTTCATATGATGAACACACAATGTGACAGCAAAAAATTAAGCTTCCTGACCAACAACTAGACTGGGTTCTAGCAATATATCCTCCACATATTATATTACTCAATAAGTAGAAAATGTTAAAATTAATAGTAACTGCTTGTTTTCCCCTACCCATTTAAAATACCTTTTAGTCGTTCTATCCAAAACCGGTATAATTTTTTTGTTTAGACCAGATTTTGCAGCTCTTTGAGTCAAAACACGCCACTTAGTGTTACCAAAAACCCAGACTAGCTTGGATTCTTCCCGCAGGAGATTGTCAGAAATTATTCCGTTAGAAATGGTGCAAACCGCACACGACTTCTGGTCATAGACCAAGTGTCCTCTGGATAGCCAACAAAACATTTTTGTGTAGGCTAGCGAAATTTGGAATGTGAGTCCCCATACGGTTATGTGTAGGATTTGGGACCCGTTTTCTTCTTTTTCTTTATTTGCGTTGGCACCGCTTAGGCAACTATAGCCGAATCAATATTAGCGCGTCATTCCTCTATTCTTTTCCCCGTCTGGCGTTAGTTGGAAATACGAAGTTAAGTCAGGTCACTTTCCACCTGATCATTCCAATGAAGTGAAGGTCTTCCTCTGCTTCCACAAGCTGGAGTGCTCTCATCCATTCGGACGACGTGACCCATGCAGCGAAGCCGCTGTCTCTTCATTCGCTGAACTATGTCAATATCATCGTACAGATCGTACAGCGAGTTGCTAATGCGCAAAGGACCATTAATCGTTGGCAAAACTTTTCGCTCGAAGACTCCAAGAACCGATATACTGATATCGTCCACGCTTCTTCGCTGTATAGTAGGACGTGTGCGAAAAGCGACTTGTAGAGTTTGGTTTTCGTTCGCCGAGAGGGGACTTTACTTTTCAATTGCTTGCTTAGTCCAAAGTAGCATCTGTTGGCAAATACAATTCTGCATTGGATATTCAGGCTGACATTGTTGTTGGTGTTAACACTGGTTCCAAGATAGGCAAAGTCATCTAAGACTTCAAAGTTATGACTGTCAACAATGATGTGAGAGCCGGGTCGCGATTGTGATAACTGTGTGTTTGATGACAGCAGATATTTCGTCTTGCTTTCATTCACTACCAGACCCATTCCCTTCGCTTCTTTATTAAGTCTGGAGAAAGTAAAACTCACGGCGCAGTTGTTGAACAAAATAACGTCGATAACATCGGCGTACGCCAGCTGCTATAGAAGACTCATCACATGAAAAATTTACTCTTGTGGAAAATACCTAAATTTCTATAAAAATGAAACTCGTTCGTTATTTGATTTTTCTTTTTTGTTTCTTAAAAGACATATTTACGGCATTAAAGTATGTTTATTCGTTTTTTTAAAGCTACATACGCTGTCCTTGAAAGAAAGGTCTTTTTCGTCGGCATGCTTAGCTTAGCTTACACCAACTTCGATTGCAGTTGGTGACTCACAATCTTCTCGGGCGTCATTCTTTCGTTTATTAACCGCTCTGTGGTAGACCCCTCCACTACATATCTAGAACAGAAGAAAGAGATACGTTCCACGTTTTCGTCAACTCTACAGCGAATAGAATGTTCAGTTTTGTCAGCGTGGCCGAATCTGTGGAGGTATTCCCTGAAACAGCTAGGACCTGACAAGAGTTGCGTCAAATAGAAGTTTGTCTCTCCGTGTTGCCTCTCAATGAGTCTATGTGTCCATCTTTCGTATTACGTTTAGCACTAGTCAAGTTTCATCTGACACTCCTTTTTGCACTCGTCAGCCGTACGACGCCTTCCTAGCTTTACTCTGCCGAGCTCAGAAACAATTTTTTTCCGGCATCATACACATAACACTGGTCTAATTACACAGGCAACTCTAGTGGTGCTTAGACTGAAAACTGTATTTGCCTTATTGGCAAACCACCTCCAAATATGAGTATGTACATAAATGCAATTATGCTTCCTTACAGGAAAATGGTGTTTCTTAGACATCTTGATTTCAAGAAGCGATTATATTAATTTAGCTTTATTGTATAATAAGGGTGTACCATGTCTTCAGCGATTTGGGGCGTACCTCGCAATAATTGGCGGAATATTATCTTCCAAAGCGTCAATCGTCTCGGGCTTCTCTGGGTAGACAAGCGACCTCACATAACCTTACACACAGTAGTCCAGTGAAGTTAAAATGCCCGATCTTTTAAACAACGCCCCTGGCCTATGATGCGAGGCAATGCGCTCATCAAGAGTTGTCATCAATAAATTCATTGTTTCATTGATCGTACGGGATTTTTCGTTGTCTTGTTGGAACCAAAGGTCATCTATTGCCCATAGCTCAAACCAAACACTGACTTTTTGAAGACTTACTGGCGTCCACCAATGGCTTGTAGATTGTCATGACTTCAAATGAGACAGCTTTGTTTGTAAACGTACCCATTCAACTGAAACTGAGCTTCATTGCTGAACAAAATTTCCTGGTGAAAATCGGGATCGTTGGCCGTTTGGTTTTGAGCCCATTCACTGAACGCTCAGAACACTTGTTGGTCGCACAGCTTCAATTCTAGCCCGCAAATGAAGATTCTACCGAAAAGTCTTTCCAAATGTTGCACGCGATGGCGGGTGGAATTTCTCGGGTATGCTTGGCTACTCTGCTTCAGTGCGCCCAGTACGGCATCCCTAAGGACGTGCATTATCCATTGTTGTTAACGTTCTACTAAACCGGCCAAGGGTTGCTCGAATTACCGATTCTGCTGTGCGATTAATTCGACCGAATATTGAACTATGTGCCCAATAAAGATGTCAACAAGACCAACACCTCCCACGTCAAAAGAAAGAAAAATTTTTGGAATGCATTGTATTAACACTCCAATCATCCCTTTGTCCCATGATACCGCTGATATAAACATAATTACTCATGAGTAATTTGATAAATTTGTGTTGAAAAGCGAACAGGCGAAAGGTGGGCAAATTGAAATGTTAAAAATTCAGCAAAAAAAAAAAAGCAAAAATTAATTCAACATTATCGACGACGACGGCGTCGACAGTTAAACGTGAATTTTATGCATCATAAAAAATCGCTTAAGTAGACAGCGTTCAGTGCGCTAGATGAAAGCCATAAAGGCCACTGAAGTCCGCTTTGTATAAATATTTAAACAAAAGCATGGTAAACATATTTATATATAAATGATATTTGTAAACACATATATATATATAAACATACAAAAATTTTTTAAAACATATTTACAAACATACGCTGCTTTCATATTTGCGAAAATAAAAATAAATTTGTAATGAGACTTGGCATTTTTCGTCTTCTTTTTTTTTTTTGCTTTTTTCTCCTGTGAAGTCAACACTTTGAAAGTAATTTTTCATGTGTTTTTATGCATACCTTTGTGAGTGTGTGTGTGTGTTATTTAAGTTAGTATCTTTTATGTGATGTATGTTTCTGTGTATATATGTGTGTATTTAACCAAACAATTATTTTAAAAGTCACATGAAATTTATCACCAATAATCAGACGCTTTTCACACGCCCACAAAGAAATGTCAATAAAAATTCACTTTTGTGCTGTGACATACTGACAGCTAGCAATAAATATATGTATATGTCTGCATATTAAATAGCAAAAAAATGTATTTCAACTTAAGAAAAATGTACGGAATGTGAGAAAATGAAATCGAAAATTATTAAAAAAATAAAAATAAAAAAACAAAATAACAACAGAAACAGTTGGTAAATAGACTTTCGGAAAAAATATTACAAATACATACAAACACATTTATATGTATAAAAATTGTTGAAGCAAAAGTATGAAATATTCAATTTTTGGCACACTCAAAACAACTTTCACCAAAAATTAGCATATTTCCGCGAAAATATTTTGTTATTGTGCTTATTTTCTATTTGCTTTCTTTAAATTTTTTACAAAATTTCCAATTGCCACTCACTCAATTATTCACAGTTGTACTAAAGCGACTTAAAATACGCACACACAAACCAACATTTTAGTCCTTGATTGATGGCATTCCGGCGCTCTGACGCGCAGCCCACTATTTTTCAACATCATTTTTCGAAAAGACTTTTTTTCTGCTCTCAGTTTAACAGCAACTGTGCTACGCCACGTGTACGACGCACATGTCCACGCTCAGCAAGCTAAGAAGCAGCAAGCAACAGCGTCAACTTTAAAAAAAAAAAAATGTTTCTATTTAAATAAAACTCATCACGAATTCTTTACGATCACAATTCTATTCACGCTTTAAGCGCTGCCCTGCTGTGAACTTTTGCTTTGCACTTTTATTTTTGAATTTTTTTTTTTTTTGATTTTGTTTTGGAAGGAGTACCATCGCGGTGGCTCACTGGTTGCTGTGTTAGTCAAGGCAAAGCGGAAGTGTTCTAAATGTAATTTATGTAGTTACCCATTTTTTTGGGTGTGGAAAGGCAGAACGAAAATCAATAGTGTTTTCTGATAAACTTAAAATTTTTTTTGCTATTTAATGGAAATTCCATTTCATTGTTTCAATTCGATAATGAACTTACAGCGGATTTTTTTTTTATTTATGGCAAATGGCATTTTCAAAAAGTGGATACAGTGAAGCGTACAGAATGTGGCTGTGAAAAGTTGAGCTCCAATTACAGGCTGTATAAAAAACGATCTGATCTGCTGACCAAAAATCAATGAAACGGTGAAAAGCTGAGAAATGATGATTCTCACAACTCTCTTAGCTGCAGCATTTATTTC